CATACTTGTTACTTTCAGGCAGCATGACCATGTGTCTTTGATTGAATGAAGTTTAGGGTGTTACCTTTAAAAGCTTTAGTTAAGGCAAAAGGTAATACCTGTAACACGTATGATAAATTTAGTTACTATGTTCTCATTACCTGTATGATGACAGCATTATTCTGTCACCTGTGTAAAATATTCTAAGCCAAATATTATATCATCTTTCTCACAGACGCGGAAAATATTAAAACAACATCTGTGCCGACGATATGGAAATGAATTACTTGGAAAGTTCGATATAAATCGATATAAATCGTTCTCACGTTCCTGATTCACTTCAAGAACAAGAAAATTCAGCGAAGAGATACGGAAGTAAGTATTATCAAAGAATATTTGATGGAAGTTTATTACGACAGATATATTTATAAGACCAGGGATTAAGAGATAGACAAATGGCATCTTTCTTCCTGATAACATTGGTACACCTCATCAAAAAATGGCTGACTGATACACGGAGACATGTAACTTTTGCTGTAGTTTAAAATCGTCTGCTTGTTACAATTTATTTTATGAAAGCGAGATAAAGTTTCTCTCTTCTTTCTTCTACCCTTCCTCCACTAACACACTTAAGTCTTCTCTTTCTTGGTATGTGCACGCAATAATAATAATAAAATATTTACTTACATCTGCTCGAAGTTTTCCAGATTCTGAAATCGTAGAAGAAAAGTAATTTTACTTATTAATTTATTACTTCTAAAGATGGTAGGAAAAATGATCGGTTCCCTGTGCAGCTCTAGTAATTACCAGACACCGCTTGACATCCTCTACAAACGCTTTCCCGTAGACAAAATGTTGCAAGCTTCTCGCTACTCTATCGCTATTTCCATGGAATATTTACTGACGTGCGACATTCCTTCAGTCCACCATTTCTAAACTTCACTGCTAAGACTCACCATACCACGCACATTGTAGCGATCCTTTGCTGAAATGTAAATTCCACTTGAACAGCTTCTTCCTGTGAACCTTTACTTTGTGGAACCAAAAAAATGTTTCCGATCATTGCAAACTTAAACTGTTCAAGTGTTAACCGCCACACCATCACAAACTGTGCCTCTTACCTTTTACTCTGTCGGTTGTGGCTACGTCGGAGGACAGAGGCGCAACATTGTGTGGTGCCCAGCCATGGGGAACAGATGCCCAAGGCTGCATCTTCTCATAACACTAGAGAATGGGTTGCTGCTCGCACCAAGACCAGCGCAACCGACGGGGCCTCGGGGGATTTTTGTTCTTGGCCTGGAGTCTACGCGCTCGGGTTCCCTGCATTAAACCGACCTTGTGTCACATCCCGTCTCGGTGGGGAGACAGGGTAAATATTCGCACAGGGCGCACTGTAAAAAACAATTTTTTTTCATCTATCATAAAGACGCTGAAAAATGCAAAATGGGGCGTATAATCATTTGAATTTCATTTTCTTAAAAGACGTTAGTTTATGATGGAAGCTTACCTGAATCTATTCTGAAGTTAGATTGGGACTTTATTTGAATTTATTCTGTGTTTATATATTAATGGGACTTTATTTGAATTTATTCTGTATTTAGATATTAATGGGACTTTATTTGAATTTATTCTGTGTTTAGATATTAATGGGACTTTATTTGAATTTATTCTGTGTTTATATATTAATGAGACTTTATTCTGTATTTAGATATTAATGGGACTTTATTTGAAGTTATTCTGTATTTAGATATTAATGGGACTTTATTTGAAGTTATTCTGAAGTTAGATATTAATAGGGGTTTTGAGCAATGTGGGATCTGCGTTGTGACAATAGGTTCCACCCATTTCCTGTTGAAATAGCTAAATGCAACTGCCACTTCTACTCCGAACAGTTTCTTTTCTCAAAATTCCCGACAGTGGAACTCTCTTCCGTTTACCTGCTTCCCTGATAACTACAATATAGAACAATTTAGATGCAGCATCAATCGCCATCTTCTATCTTATTGAATCCCGTCTATTTTTTGTCCTTTCTTCAATCCCCCTTATACTCAGTCTTTTCTTTCACTTTCACTCCCTGTAAACCCCTGCGTACTAGTGGCATTTCAGCCTTGATTGGGGTGAAATGATTAAAAATTTTAAAGTATAAACATTCCTTGAATTAAATTACTGTTGGTCGACGGATATATTTACATTCTAATAGACAAATTATATTCAGATACTTTCTTGCATTTTAGAAAGAGATAAACTAGACAAGATTATTATTGCATTAAGCACGAAATTCCTTCTTTTTTATTTTTAGTAGAAGCTATTGAATAAATAATAGCTTATAAAAATACCATTTTAAAATTATTTAAAACTAATATTCTCAACTTCAAAATAAAACAAAGCTTTTATATTTAATTTTAGACCATGAGTAAATGACCGGATGAATGGTAATGATAATAGTAATATGAGCTGTTTCCTTATAAGGAAACATCTGGCATTCACTGACCGAGCAGTCAATACTACAGCCGGCTGAATTTTATAAAAGGTTTTCATGACAGAATCTACCTTACATAGTCTACCATTCATCCTTTCTTTGAATATTCATGCCACCTCGTATCTGATGCTTCTGCTATCTATTTAGATATTCTTTATAAAATACTAAGAATCTGCAATGTTACTGGTCCTGATCTGGCCTCTCGGCTTCAGTCATTCAGCTTCCCTGTGCCTTTTCTATAAATATTCTCATGATCATTGCTCTGATGAGCTTTCATCTTTGGTACATAGACTTTACGAAGTTAAGCGTACTGCTAGATTGGCAGCTAGGTCCCTTCATTTTATAGTTGACTTTTCTAGATATAACTTTAATTTCTATACTAAGAGTTTCTTCCCTCGCATTTGTGGAATTATCTTCTGGTTTATTGTTTTCCATTCAACTTTGATCTTCAAAAATTTAAATATAAAGTCAATCGATATCTTTTGTCTTCTTAATTCCTGTTCTTTTATTGTTCTCTTTAATTAATATTTTCTTTTTCACATATTCTCTAAATATTCCCTAACACCGTTGTCTTTCTTGGGATGATTTTTTTTTTTAAATTCTATTAAAAAGATTTATCAGGAAAATAGGTTTTTCGGGATGCAGTAGCTGTTATCACTCTTTCCATTATTGATGGAGGTTTCCTTCCTAACCTTTTATTTGAAGTAGTGTAGAATATTAACATCTTGATTTAAATCATTATTTTCTCTTCGAATTACATGTGATATCCGTTTTAGCTGTTGCTGCTGTTGAAATTCTCAAGTGATGTGGTTTTTGTTATTTGGTACAGTTATTTGTTTGATGTTTACAAAATATCCATGAATTGAACTGCGCAGTATCTAAGTCCTCAAACCGTGCGTCATGCCTCATAAGTGCGAGGGAAGACGATAGCAGGTGAGGCGGAAGAGGATAGCTGGTGAGGCGGTAGAGAATAGCAGGTGCGACGGAAGAGGTTAGCCTGTCTGGTGGAAGTGGTTAGTAGGTGAGGCGGAAGAAAATAGAGGTACGGCGGGAAAAGAATAACAGGTGCGGCGGTAGAGGATAGCAGGTGCGGCGGAAAAAAGGATCACAAGTGCGACGGGAAAAGGATAACAGGTGAGGTAGAAGAGGATAACAAGTGAGGCGGAAGAGGTTAGCCCGTCCGGCGGAAGAGGTTAGCCTGTCCGGCGGAAGAGGTTAACAGGTGAGGCGGGAAAAGGGTAGCAGGCGAGGCAGAAGAAGTTAACAGGTGAGGCGGAAGTGGTTAGCAGGTGAGGCGGAGGAGAACACCAGGAGCGTCGGAAGAGTATAGCAGGTGAGGTGGAATGAGTGAAAGACAAAATTTAGACATAGTTTCAAAAAATTCATATGCCAATAATTAATGTTTTCAAAATCTAAAAATATTACGGTTTACTTGTAATTGCATGTATGAGTCCCAGTATAAACAGTTATAAATAATTATTGAACAATTTTATCATCGATATTTTTGCATTATATCAAGTATTAAAAATATAGTAACTAGGGTCAGCAAATTGGCATAGAGAGTTATCAATGACAATGTTCTGAATTTGAATCAACAGTTATCTTCCTTTAAATCTCTCTGTTTTTTTATTATTAGTATTTTTAAATGTCCATTTTATCACATTAAAATTTGGTGAGGTGCGAGCAAATTTTCCGAAAATGCAACCCAAAGAAAAAAGTTTTGGTTTGGTTTGTTTGGGCTTGGTTTGGTTTGGTTTGTTTTACGGCATATCAACCGCAAAGGGTTATTTAATGCCGACAAAATTTTTATTGCTGGTAATATGTTTTTCTTCAAAAATCTATTTCTGGAAATATTTTTCCTTGAAGAAATCTATAGCTGGTCATATTTTTTCAAAGAAAGTATAACTTTGTGTTGCTGGTATTTTTTTAAGTATTTCTGATAATAATTTTTTTATTACAAAGTATTTCTAGTATTAAAACCTATTTTTACACAAGTTTGGGTGTTAACTATTTGCCCATAGCTGGGACCCTAACAGGTGCTACCACCCCAGGTTAGGGTGGACCTGGGGAAACCAGCAATTAAGAGGTGGTTCCACGCTCCTCCAAAACCTCCTGATCAGAGGCCTTGCTGTTGGACACCCGGGACGCGGATAGTTTATCGTCTTACCCGGGACGCTGATGTAGTTTATCATCTTACCCAGGACGCGGATGTAGGTTATCGTCTTACCCAGGGCGCGGACGTAGTTTATCGTCATGCCCAGGACGGAAAAGTTTTGGAACCACTGATCTAAGTAGTTTAGTTGCAGTATAAACCACAAGATGGGCTTGTGGGTGTTGAAGAAGCACAAATGTTTCCGAGTAAACGGGCCTATCCGGAAATTAGTAATGAAATGCACTGTGCCTTCAAGTCGAAATAACTGATGTCGATCATTCATGTCATGGCGAAATCATAATTTTAAATTGATTATTTTCTTTCTGTAGTTGTATTTTTCGGTGTTTTGGGGTTTTTTTTCCATTCTATCATGTTAATTAATCTTTAAAGTCTTAAAAAAATTCAATGCCTGCAAAGTTATATCGTTTTTCTTCTTCTCATTTATCTTTTTAAACCTCGCCCGTTCTTCGTTCGTTGCATAAATGTTCAACGAGTCAATTCCGTGCTCTCTCTCTCACTTATTAGCAGGCGGATATTGCTTTGCGCTCGTCTTGTTAGCTACTTTTATCGAAACCGTCTATATCATGCCAAACGCAGCCTTGTTCCTCCCCACCGTAAAACCGGAAGGAAACGTCATCAAGCGCTTCTCTCTTCCTCCACTAGCGGGCAGCACGTTGAGAGTTTCTTCCGGGCCCAAGCAAGTGAGTTGAATGGTGTCATTGCAAATCTAATTCTCTTCTCAGAAATCAATAAATAGTGTAAAACTGACAGTTCTCGCCATGTTTTGTTGTTGCTTCGACTGTAAGTCTCACGTGTTCACAGGGGCACGATCCCTTTCAATGTAACCGTCTCTCCAAGCAGATGATTGTTTGGGGAAATGTCTGCTAGGCACTACTAATAGGACAGACTGTGACAAATAAAACTTACCTGAAACTTATTCTTAATGAAAACGAAGCAGCTATAGTAAACTTATTTCAAATTCCGCTTAATATTGATGTGAGCCTGATACATCGGGATTCGAACTCCGCAGTAGCACCACTCCATTGCACTAAAATGGGAGGACCGTGGGTATTGTTAAGCCAAGTAGAGTAATGGTTAGTGGCTTTGAAGATCGAATCGGCCCACAAAGTTCAAACTTTTTTGGCAGAGACTGTTTTGTTGACTTCGTGCTGGGGAAAGACATGAACCCGTCTTCTCCAAGCTAATGGTTAAATAGCAGAACAGACTGCTCTCCTTTGCCATTCGCGGAATTGAAATCTCCACAAATAACAGAGCAGCTGAGTTATTTAACTATTTGTAGGGAAACCAGTGTATATTTGAGTAGTTATTGGAATGGAAAGTGAAATCGGCAAACCGAGTTGAATTTCTGCCCTTATCTGTTGCATTCATTTTCGCACAAATTCCTTTGGAAAAGGTATGCATCCGTATTTTTGCCCCCTATCTATGGGCTAAATATCATATATTTGGGAGACAAATATTCTCGGAGGAATACTCTAAATTTCAAACCGTGGAGAAAGCAGCGGGAAATCACTCCGCCATATTTCCCAAGAAGTCATAACAATTCACAAATATAAAAAAAAAAAAAAATGAAAACTGTGGAAAACCATGTTCGCCTACATCTTGAAGATGGATTAAAAATAAGGAAAACAGTCGATGAGAGAGAGAATTCTGTATTCAAAAAGAGCTTATAGAGGAAAGAACTCCGTCAGGTTATCTTACTTTAGGCATATCCACAGATGCCACAGCCGCAAAACATCTTATGCCTCAACAACTCTTATAGTTTGTTTGTGTTTTCAATCATTTCACTCCAAGTAAGGTAGTAAAGCCACTAAGACAGAAGGGTTTACTGAGTGTGAAAGAATAAGATAAAGAGAAAAATAAAGGAACAGGAATAATAAAGGAATTAGAATTCATTTGACGACATAGTTTACGAGAAATATTTCACTAAAAGCCAGTATAAATCGACCAGATGACATTCATTAAAAAGCCAACCGCTGCCCTGTCGTCTGAACATACGAAAATATTCTTTTGCATAGCAGGTAGTGAATGAGTAAAACTCTCCTGCTTTCAAAAGCAAGATCAAAAGACATTTTGAAAATATTGGCAGATCGTAGCTGCACTTGTGTACAGTGGGTTTTTTTTTCCACTGTCTTATATGCTTTTCTAATTCAATGTTTTGATTATTCCTATCGTCTGCATCTTCCAAGTGTTTTTTGTTAAATCTTTTACCTCCCGTTTGTTTGTGCATTTGTTACGTTGATAATTATTTTCTCTAAAATACATCCGGGGCGGTTTATACCTACTTTTACTATCAGTAACAATTGTCTCTCTAAACTAGAATCTTATGTAATGGATCCAGTTTACAAACGGATAATAATGACTATGAACCCACCAAAATGGCCACGCTTTGATCATTTTGACCCAAATCAGTACGCAGCCATAAAGTAGAGTAATTAACCAAGGAATTCGAATACAATTGATGGCTGTAAAAATCTATGCGGGCATATGACGCTGCATGATCAATAATATCCCCGTCTATCATCTGTGGATCTCTATCTATAAAAGGCTGTGTGTGTGTGTGTGTGTGTGTGTGTGTGTGTGTGTAACGAATGCACGGCCGCAATTTTCGACGGATTTGCACCAAAATTTACATGCACATGCTCCAAGTTAGCGGGAAGGCCAAAACCGACTTTGTATTTCCCAACTCCCATCAATAGTAGAAATAATCGATTTTTTCATGCGTCTACAGCAGTTTTCATGTAGTTTGCGGCCATTTTCTACTGGTCAGAGTGAGAGCCTATAGCTGGCTGCCACGAATTGACAGGAAGATTCTATTGGCCAGCGTGAGAGCCAACAGCTGACTGACACGAATGTTAACTAGCATACTAGCATGCAAAAAAATCGATAGCTGCATTCGTCACAAGTGGGGAAAAATTTAAATCTGCATGGCACTTTACTCCAATTGGCTCATTCGCTTGCTTAAACTCAACGTTGATTCTGATTCCGCAGAACTGGGTTGGGTGTGAAAAAGTATTTGTTGTTAACATTCTTTTTTCATTCGGTTTTTCCAGCTACGAGTCCTTTTTTTAAAGCTGATCGTTTTGTGTTCATTTTGTTTCGTTCTTTTTTCGTAACAGATTTAATGTTTAGTATAGAGCTTAGAAAAAATTCGCAGTGTGAGATAGGCAAGAAGTAAGGCATGTAGCAACATCAGCACGGCAAAGGACAGTCCTTTAAAGGCAAGGAAGGGCAAAAATATTTCAAGTCAAGTGATAGCGATGGCTGTATGAGTCGTACTATTTTTTAATCAAGCACGGGGCAACGCCGGTCCATGCTGCTAGTACATTAATATACATCTTATTAAATGACGAAGGGATTAATTATCTTCTGACCTTTTTCAAAATTAATTCATCCCAAACAAGGAGATCACGTCTAATAATAATAATTCTAGTCCATTAAAAAGTCAACCGCTTTCCTTTTGAACATAAGATAATATTCCTTTCAACAGCGGATAGAAATGACACCCTTCATCTTTTAATGCCAAGAATTTAGACGTCTTCAAAAACGAGATCAAAAGACATTTTGAAAATATTGACACATCGTAACTGTACTTGTGCATACTTATACTGTCTAATATGCTTTTGAATCGAATGTTTCGATTTTTCCTGTCGTCTGCATGTGACAAGTGTTCTTTGTTATAACTTTTACCTTCCGTCTCTTTCCCCACTTTAGGTTAATGGCTTCTGGGTTGGTAATAATAAAAAATAAAATGAAAATATGGCAACAGCATTGGAAAGAATATAAAAAGACTGTTGAGAATGACTGATAATTGTTTTCTTATCTCGATAATTAGATCATTATTCCATTATATAAAAGTTAAATGAACAACGATCATTTATGAACGAAGAACATATTCAGAGATATTTTAAGAAACTCTAAGATATTCAATTTTTTTCATAACTAATTTCCGTTTAAAAACAATTGCAATAAAGAATTTTAAAACCAGGAACGGTGCAAGAGTCTTGTGGTCTCTTGATGGATACTAAAAAATGAGGTATTATTTATATTTACAATTTTGTAATTATGTACAATAATGGATCTTATACAATATAGGTGAACAATTCAACTAGAAAATTGAAAATAAATATAATGTATCTCAAATAGAAATTAGAGACATGTCATAATAGATCATTCCATCTTAAATAAATCAACAATGTTTTACGGCAATTTTTAACATCAACTTTTTTTTCTTATTGAAAAGCTGAAGAATTTTAATATTATGGATAAAAAAAAATAGTGAATTTTATGTTTTCTGACACTTATCACGGGCAACAGATTCACGGATTTAGACATAATGACGTTAAAATCCGCGAAAATCTTTTAATAGTCAGTTGTGATTAGTTTAATTTGTAACATATTAACAAGTAGAAAAAGCAAATGTTAAGATAGCGAGGGTAACAAAGCAATGACAGGAACCTCAAATCAGGCTTCCTCCCCCAATCAGTATGGTTCGAGGATAGTACGCCCTGCTCAAATATATCAAAACAGGTGATGAAAAATGGGTTAGATACGACAATGCTCAACGCAGAAGATAGGAGATTGACAAGGACAAATCTCCACAACCAATTCCAAAAGGGATCTTATTTATTTAGAGTTCTTAAAACGCAATGAAATATTAAATGCAGATTTATACATTCAGCAGGTGAAAAGTGACCATAGAAATTTGATCGGAAAGTGGCCTGTGCTCGTCAGTAGGAAAACGTTGTTCTCCTCCATGACAATGCATGACTGCATACAGAAAGGATAACACAAAGAAAAAAATGAGAACTCGGTTAGTCTGTTCTGCCTCGTCTGCTGTATTCACCTGGCTTCGCACTAACCGATTATTATCTATTTCGATCGCTGCAAAATACTTTGAAGGGGAAAATTTTCTCTGATAAAAAAACAGATTTAAAAGATTGGGGAAATAAAGAAGGATATTAAATAGATTGCGGCTCTCGTTTCATCCTTGACGTACTCCTAATGAAGTTTGAAATATTTCCGTAATGTGATCTTCCTTAAGACATGTATGACATTGTGGACCGATATTGTTCCCCTATCAGATCTAGAGATTCAATCGGATCAGAGTTTGGAAGACGGTTTATAATAGATAAAAAGAAGAAGACGATTTGGTAGAACCAAATCGAAATCTACGTCGTCGTCGGCACCCGCTCGCATCCGATCATCGGGATCGTCATCCTCTCTCCTTATTCCCTTTCTCCCTTCTGGTGGTGGTAATGGAGATGGTTGTGAAGGCCCAGTCTACTCATGAAGAGTCGTGTGCAGGAGTCACAGAGGAGTGTGGGTGGTGGCCTTCCTAATAGCACGTCGCAGATCATCTTCATGTTGACGGTTGAACTGGAAAGTCTTAGTGCCAGCTCGGGATGATCCAATGCCAGGAAAGCCGATTAGCAGCAGCGGTTTCCAGGAACCCAGACTTGATGTTGGCCTGTATCAGGGATGTCTTCAGTAGATCCTCCTTTTAGGTCTCCGCGTAGTCTCTTGCCGCTGGCGAGTTCTCCAAACACAGTTATACATGGGACCCGCCCAGCAGAATCGATGTTGGAGGATGGTAGCCTCGATGCTGAGGAGAGATGTCCAAGAGCGAACATCGTTAGTAGTGATGCGGTCCTCCCAACTGATGCGAAAGATTCTTAGGAGTTTCGTTTGATGGAATGGTGAAATATAATTGAATAAAATAGAGTGTTTTTGAGGAATAAAAATGATAAAAAAAAACAGAAATTATTTGTAACTCTACCTACTGTTAATATATATATATATATATATATATATATATATATATATATATATATATACTAGCAGTAGAGCCCAGCGTTGCATGGGTATGTAACAGTAAGAGATAGATCAAGTATCGACCATCATAAAGACTGAAAAATAAAATTGACAAAGATTATTGTTTAAGGTTGACGGACACGCATGTCTTAATTAGTTTTTTTTTTCTTACGAATTGGTCAAACTCAAACTCAAACAAAAACATTGTTTTCAATCATTATGATGAGTCCCCCGATTGAATAGAATTAGAATTTTATTATAAACAATTGTCTTGTAAATGGAATTTTTAAAGCATTCTGAATGTAAAAATAAAGAAAAAGTGTGCAAGACAATAAGAAACACTACCTGCCAAAAAAAAGTGAAGTTTTGTTGAAATCGGTTGGGCTTTAAGTATAACTCGATATAAGTTGTCCCCCTTTCATTCCCGCGATGCCTCTTAATCGTGTTTTCAAATTGATTTCGGGCAAAAACAATTGTGTTTTTCCAATTTTTGGCGCTATCAGAACCACCGCAAGGTAATTTTACGTAGTCCTGTGAAGTTTTTTTCGGTTGAAAAATCGGAAATTGAAAAATAAACGTACAGACACACACACATCCAATATATGGTTTTATGATAATATATATATATATATATATATATATATATAAACTATTTTTTTTATTATAAAACTTTTGATTTTGGCAATTCCTGACTTTAATTATTTACGATCTGTGTTTGTTCTACTTTCAGATTACATCTTTACACCATGTCTCGAGCTTTGTTCGCCTCCACCCTGCAAGCTCTCAAGAGCGTCAAGGACAATCCCTATGTCCAGTATATTGGCCTCAACTTGGCCAATATCTCCAAGCTTCCTCCGGGTTACACAAAAGTTCGAGTGAAGAAAACACGACTCGAGATGGTCCAAATTACTGCGGCTGTTTGCGGGATCGAACTCTGTTACGCTGCCGAAACGGCCTTCGTTAGCCCGATCCTCCTAAAGCTAGGCGTACCCGTCATCTATATGACGTGGGTGTGGTGTTTAAGTCCTTTGCTTGGATTTTTCCTGGTACCCTTACTGGGTTCCATGAGCGACAGATGCAGGCTGAAACTTGGTCGGAGGCGACCGTTCATTCTTGTGATGACAGCTGGGATTATTTTTGGATTGATTCTCGTTCCAAACGGAGAGTGGCTTGGTTTATTGATGGGGGATATATCACCCAGTGACTATGTAACAAGCATGCAAAATGGTTCAAACTTATTGTCGGATGGTGCTACCGAGTTTAATGAGCTATCAACACCGACGCCGCCAGAGAAACATTGGTTACAAATCCGAGGCGTCATTCTAACAATTATCGGAGTTGTTATGTTGGATTTCAACTGTGATGCTTGCCAGTCGCCATCACGTTCTTATCTTCTCGATGTCACTATCCCCGAAGATCACAAAACAGGTATCATTACTTTCACGGTAATGGCGGGTCTTGGAGGCAGCGTCGGTTACATCATGGGTAGCATCAAGTGGAACGCGGAAACGCTAGGTTCAGCCTTTGAGGGTCACGTCCGGTTGGTTTTTACGATTGTCCTATGTGTGTTCATTCCTTGTATATTGTCGACAGTGACGAGTGTTAAAGAGACGCCATTGGACGAGTTAGATATTGACGTGAAAGACTATCAAAAGAAAAAGAAAAAAATAGGCAAATCGAAATATGAAAAGTTTGAAAATGAAAGTGATTCAAGTGATGATAACGGGGATAAACCAGCCGTCCAAATGTACGGTGCAGTCGATCCAACATTGCCTCCGAGTGAAAACGGAAGGGTACTTACAGAAATGGGAACGCTGGACTGCCAGACGAAATACGAAAAGGAGAACGAGTCCGTTCCAAATTTTAAGAAGCTCTCTGATACTGAACTCGGTGACCACACTGATTGTGACACCATACAAATTTCGACAGATGTAACTCTAAAGACATACCTTCAGTCTATTATCCGCATGCCAAAATCCCTTTTCATCCTTTGTATAACGAATCTTTTTTGTTGGATGTCTCTCGTCTGCTACTCCCTTTTTTTCACAGACTTTGTTGGGCAAGCAGTGTATGGCGGTGACCCAAACGCCCCAAGAGGTAGCGACCGACATGAAAATTATGAAGCGGGTGTTCGTCTTGGTTCTTTCGCTATGTCTTTATATTCATTTTCATGCGCCGTGTATTCGTTAGCGTTCGAAAGACTGGTGAAAAGATTCAGTAAGTATAATGTTTATATATTATTTGTATAATGTCAACCCATGGTGACAATTTAAACCGATGATTTTTTTTTATTTCCATGTATTGTTACCATTTTTCTTAAAATGTGTATTTTTGTTGTAGCATACCTACGGACGATAATGGGTATCTCCCCATTCACAGAAAGACAGTAATAAATACTGTATGTTGGTCTGCAGTTGGAGGTTCGTCTCCAGCTGTGCTGGTCGAACTCTCTGCCTCCGAGCAGATGAGGATCCCCAGACGAGGCTATGTCGAAGGGCAGAGTCTCGTCTCGGGAAACAGTTACCCAACTCCGTTTATACGGGGTCTACGGGGAAATTTTAGCCGAGCCTACGGGCTCGGATACCCCACATTTGCGACATCTGACCGCGTGGGTCGGTTGGTAGATATCCTTATATTCGATGTGGAATTCACTTGACTTACTTCTAGCAGTTGACTACTTCTTCTACGTTCCGCTGGCGAATCTTATATGTGTTGTTCTTGTCGTAAGTACTATCGTTCATTACCAACCATCGTATAAATATTCTATTTAGTAACTTGGTTTCAACAATTTTCTTGGTTTCAAATAAAAACTTAGTCATTTTCCGGCATATTTCAGTGAAATTTTCTCTTCCAAAATTATAGTTTATTATTATAGTTTAGATATCTGAAAAAAAGAAGACGTCAATTTAAACTGATTTCAAAAGGTTAATTAAGTGTTTAATATTGCCTGGGATAAATTACTTACGTTCTTAAGGAACTTTAAAAAAAAAAAAATTAATTTTATTATTGATAAGTATTTATAAAAAAAATAGTTTTTATAATTGTCATTTTTTTAATTGTCCAGGTATGCGTAACGATATATACAAAATACTCTACATACACAGATAAGTATCGATGTATTTTGAGAGCATCAGACTTGTTCAAATTTACACTTTGCTATCAAGATATCCTTTGCCATAGTAGGTATAACCAAGTTGTTTTCGAGTGTTATTTGTATTAACACTCGACCCAATCTCTTAAATTGCTTACTGCGAATATCTGTATAATTATTCAACACAAAGCAGAACTAGCTTTCAAAAGAAGATTATGATAAATAACTGTTGATCGCACGCTGTTTTGATTCAAATCTTCTGTGATTCGTGCCGCAAACAGCCTAATTTCTGTTTTTGCATTGCCACAGGAACAAAAATGCAATAATACTGCAGAAGCAACCCAAAGCAACCTGAGGTTTATAGAAAAGGTTATTTAAATGAAATCGCTAGAGATGGTTTAAAAGATATTTTAAAAAAATGGTGACCTAAGATGTGCTACAAATATATCGTTCTGTTTACCAGTGATATTTCTTTAAACTTAATAGAAACTGCTATTGCGGCTGAAGAGTTCACTCAAAAACAGAATCCAAACAGTTCATCATCTACAAAAATTTAGAAAGTTGTCTAAACACAGAAAATGGATTCCGCATGATTTGACAGAGGTCAACTTTCGCTCAAATTTCTGTGAACGTATTTCAATCTTACCTGATGAAGAAATATATTTATTTCATAAAGAATCGCTAAGTGGATTCCAACAAGCTAACGTTAAGTGTTCTTTGATTTTCTACTAATTACCACCAGAGGTCAGATTGTTCAAACACTGCTTTGGAGGAAAAGAAACTCTGTTTGACCGTAAAGGTGTAATGTCCAATTTTATTGCAAGGTCCTAGAGTACAGTGTTTTACTATAGCGCAAAGCCTACCCTCTAACTCTAACTCTAACTCTAATCACACTAAGTTAAATATAGTCACGGAAATATAAAATGCACCAGTATACAATCGAGAATTACAAAGTGTGTCCCCAAACATAAACAACAACGAACCTAGTGATGAGGAAGAAGCTATAAAAAAAGACCTAAAGAATAATAAATTATCATTTGATATTGAAGTTGAAATGTTGAATCTAAGAACAAGTTGTTCTGTTTCATGAAGGAAATCTGGAATCAGAAAAGCACCTCAATGCAGGAATTCAAGAATTAATGCACTATGGGAAGAAAAGTATGCCTCAAAACCCTCACATGAACAGCGGTATCTCAATTATGGTGAAAGTATGAATGAACATTGTATTAACTAGGAGTTAACATTCATAAAAAACTATGAAAGTCAACTCACTCCTCAATTTGAATTTCATTTCTTATAAGTGGTTTGAAAACAGACAAGCAACAAGACTTCTCACCTTCACATTAATATCATCAAGTCTACCACGAGTTGCCTAAAATATCCAAAAAGGTCGTGTTTAAACTTTGCGCAGGTTTTCGATGCCATATGGAGAGATTTTAATGGAAAATGACTGAAGCCATATTGAATAAATTATTCCTTGTAATATGTATGAATTTTAACTCCTTGTGTTAGTGTTATGGTCCGGTTCCTTGTACCACGGTGAAAGTCCAAGGTGGAACCAATAAAGAAGAACTCGAACATGGATATGGAATAACACAGATATATTACAAACAGGAATATATACAGAGAAGTAGAAAGTGTTAGTACGAACAATCAGGTTTAGTTGTAATTGTCTGAACGCGACTGTTTCGGACTGCCTCTGACTCGACTGACTCGCTCGCTCTGACTGACTGACAGACTCCTGGCGGACTTCATTCCAGACTTCAGGCTGAACAGTATTTAGTCATCCCCCCCCCCACGAGAGCATCATGTGGCACAAGGCCGGTTTAACGTGAGATCTCCGAGCCCGCGAGCTCGGCCAAAAATATGCCCTTTGAACCCGTATAATCGGGTTCAGGGTCGGTTTACCTCCCCGAAAGAGACTCCGCCTTTCGGCGTAGCCTCGTTCGGGTTCCTCCCCGCCCGAAGGCAGAGAGTTCAACCGATCAGCCGGTCAGCCGGTCTTTCGACTTCGGACTGAACTCCCTGCTTCCTTTTGAGGCACAGTATTTATTACGCATGGAATAGTCCATTTTGTTATTATGGGTAAGGTCCCATAACAATTAGTTTTAATAATATTCTTTTATTGGGGCTTTAAAAGCGTCATTTTAAATGTATATAGAAATATATAGAGAAATATATGAAAACAAAGGGAGAGGAAAAGAATGGATAAGAAATAACAAAAAAGAGGCAAACCAGTTATTGCTCCCCTCAAGCGAGGACAAAATATATAAATATGTGCACAACAACTACAAAAGAAGAGAGAAAAATACTACCAGAGAATCACCAGTATCATTCAAAGCCAGATTACATTTAGGCCCAGTAACTATTCTTTCTGCTTATATAGGGAAGGTTGCTTAGACTTAATATATAAGGACACAAGCATTTCCAATAATAATCAATATGTGCACTGTTGACTACTGGAAAAAATCTTTGGTAAAAGATGACGCAGAAATCGGATTATTTAAGTGTTCCACAAGTTGCTTTTAACATATTTATGTATACGAGGATTCTTCTTGGATGCCCATCAGCTCCGTTGTTACGAACCTCTTGATGGGCTCCACGCCTTCAAAACGGGTCCCCTTGATGATCTTCTTGAATTTGGGGAAAAGAAGAATGTCACAATGAGCAAGATCAGGGGAATAGGGAGATTATTCAAGTACGGCGATCAGCAACTGTCGGATGCTCAGGAGCGTTGTGAGCAGGGCCATTGTCGTGGTGAAGCGGCCACGATTTGTCCTGCCACAACTCTCGTCTTTTCTCGTGCACTGAGCGAAGCAAACACCACAGGATCTCTTTGTAGACTTGCTGATTGATCGCCTGGCCCTGTGTCAAGAACTCACTGTGGACGATGCCTTTCACATCGAAGAAGAAAGCAAGTCCCATTACTTTTCAGAAAGACCTCATATGTTTATACTTTTAAAATGTCCGTTTTTAAAGCACTAATAAAAGTTTGGTTATTTAATATCCTAGTTATGCTTAACAAGCAGCAAGTGCTTCCCCATCCTGTAGCTCTTGGCATAATTTGTACGATTTCATTCTTGTCTATGCACCTTTGTTTAGTCCCGGGCAACGTTTTTATCAACTGTGATAATCGTGTCAAGGCGAACATTCACGCCTGCACAAACATTTGTACGCAAGTTCAAACGACGATTCAGATTATCGTCGTTTCGTGAACTCAGCATTCAATTTCCGAGTTAAGAAACTACTGATTGCTTCTAAATGACTGTGAACGGTTGGATGAGTCTAATTAAGCGGCTGAACTGTTTCCCCGATTAGTCCCACTACGGCGACTGATTTTCACAACTTAACGCAATTTATGCTGATACATTTCCAATAGCCATCCACTTCATGGCTCATCCAGTGGCGCGAATTCCGTGAAACACAGGGAACACTGATAATCTGCTATATGATTAATAGTCCTTCTCTTTGGCTAATTCACCTCAGATACCCTGCCGAACTGGAATCAACTTTGAAATCATGCAGCAAACACGAATAAAAATGCATAAACGAGGTGATTTTTTTTAATTAATCAGAGTTTCAATACTGGTAAAATAGATCAACGTGAAGATCAAATAAAACTATAATTATAAATATTGTTGAAGCTTGGATAAGCATGGAATAATAATAATACAACACAAAATGTACGTAAACAAAATGTATTGAAACAAGGAAAAGGTACACAATATTTACAGTTAGTTTTGGTATATTCTTGGGAAGACTGTTCCTGTAGAATGGGTTGACTTAATCGCAGTCGGGCAGAGTCTCTGGATTGGATCTCTTGTTACTTCCCTCGTCTTCCCGGTACCAACCCATATTTATATGGTCGGTACTCCACTATGTAAATTAGGTGGATCGTACCACAACAAATATAAATAAATTCAACAAGATACTCTCCATTAACCACCATAGAGATCCCTCCCTGCCCCCCATTAAAATGTCTGATAGTCAACTTCCTGAGAGCAACTCCCTGCGTCTGCTCGGTCTCACGCTGACTGCTTACCTGAGATGGAACAAATACATTGAGTCAATTGCTTCTTCCACCGCGAGGAAAGTTGGCTCTCTGTGCCGCGCCAGGAAATTTTTCTCCCCTGAATCGATACTTCAAATATACAAAAC